ATGTGTGTCCAGACAACAATCACAGCCAGAAATGCCAACCAAAGTGCTCTGTCAATATTGTTAATAGTAAAAAGTGTTAATTGGAATCTGTTAAATTGCTGAAAGTTAAAGATCTTCACTTGGCGTAGTGCACAGGGCTGTGTAGAAGCAGCAGCTTTAATCCATTTATATAACTATTGCGTAGAAAGTCTTTAAACAGTCTGCGATAGTTGGACTCCACTTCAGACAATTGGTACATGATTGAAGTTTATTACTAAGTGGAAGAAACTATCGAGTCAATTTATAGCGCTGTCTCTTGTGCGTATAGCTCATCAATCAGCACACAATTGGAATGTGTCAGGGCCTAGACAGCTGCTGTCAAAAGTGACTGACTGCTTGATGTCTTAAATGGATGAGTCAAAGAGGGCGAGAAAGAACGTGCATAGACATTAATAGTAAAGGGCGTATAGCTATACAACGGCTGTACTACTGTATATGAAGAAAATTATCCAGTACATGTCTAGTACTCTTAGTAATTGATATACGACAGTTAGACAATGATTTCCTTAGCAAATTGTTATCGATTCAAAAATAATCTAATTGAAGCGAGCAGAAGAAATAAATTTGAGTGATATGTTCAGTCATCCACACGTATACGCCGTATATCATACACCAAGTATATGGGGCCATTGTGAGTTGCGATTTTCATTGCCAACTATTGCTTAGTATTCCGTCTAGTGGGACATTAAAATGCGTAGTTAGTGCGAATATCCAATCCTGGTAAAAAAAAAGGATTATGTCTATGAAGATACAGATACAGATAAAGATACAGATACAGATACAGATACAGATACAGATACAGATACAGATACAGATACAGATACAGATACAGATACAGATACAGATACAGATACAGATACAGATACAGATACAGATACAGATACAGATACAGATACAGATACAGATACAGATACAGATACAGATACAGATACAGATACAGATGCAATTAGCTATAAATATATAGATCTTAGAAATTTAGAATATCCTCAGAGAACATCAATCAATAATATACTACCTTAACCATTCTAGCTGCATTCATTCATGCTTGTATTCACTGTAAACCTAAGTTTTTTATTATTAGATTGGAAAGTCGATGAATTTAAATTTGAAGACTTGCATTTTTTGTATGTCTACGTCGCTTTTATTGATTTACAATCATGTGTTGTGTGTTGTGATAGGTGTATTTACTTAGATTATTTTCAATTTTAAGTCTAGCAAAAAAACATTCACCTAAAACAAGGACTGTAAATAAAATTTGAACGACTGGACTTATCAGCAAAGTTTCCATCGAATAAGAGTACAAAGCAAAACCCTATAAAAGCTCAGCACACGCCTGTTTGCAATTCATAACAACGACAAGAATGTCGCTGAACAAGTCGCTTCTTTTTGCCGCGTTGGGGCTTTTGGCCACCTTTGGGTTGAGTCAGGCGGAACGCGTTCACTATGACAATTATCGTCTGTATAAAGCCACTTCTGAGAATGAAGAGCAACTGGCTGTGCTGAAGGAACTGGAGGGATCCTCGGACTCCATCATATTCTTGGATGGTGTTCACCTCGTTGGGGCCAATGTCCAGATGGTTGTTGCCCCACACAAAGTGCCTGATGTATTGGAGATTCTGGGCAAAGCTGAGATTAAATATGAGCTGCAGTCCAAGGATTTCCAAAAGTCGTTGGATGAGATTGACGAGAAGGTGGCACCCAAGGGTCGCGCCAGCTCGGAATACAATTGGGGCCAGTACTACGAACTGGAGGATACGTATGCCTGGATGCAGTCCTTGGCCAGGCAAAACCCAAACATTGTCACACTGATCGAGGGTGGCAAAACCTATCAGGGTCGTTCAATTCTGGGCCTGAAGATTTCCAAGAGCGGCAGCGAGAAGCCCGGAATCTTCATCGAGGCTGGTATTCATGCTCGAGAGTGGATCGCCCCAGCGGCTGCTACCTTTATCGTCAACCAGCTGCTCACGTCAAGCGTGGATTCTATTAAGCAATTGGCCGACAACTACAATTGGTACGTCTTCCCCCATGCCAATCCTGATGGGTATGTCTATACACACACCAAGGATCGCCTATGGCGCAAGACCCGTACACCTTATGGCAGCTGCTTCGGCGCTGATCCTAACCGCAACTGGGGCTTCCACTGGAATGAAGTGGGCGCCAGCAGCAGCGCCTGTTCCGATACATACGCTGGACCCAAAGCGTTCTCTGAGATCGAGACTTTGTCCTTGTCGAACTATATTGCCTCGATCAAAGATAAGATTCAGCTCTATGTCTCGCTCCATGCCTACTCGCAGTATCTGCTGTATCCTTATGGCCATACAAAATCGTTGCCCGATAACGTTAAGGACTTCCAACAGGTGTTCAACGCAGCCATATCTGCTGTCTCCCAGCGCTATAATACAAAGTACACTGGTGGCAACATCTATGATGCCATCTATCCGGCGGCTGGTGCCAGTGTTGATTGGGCTTATGGCACCCAGGATGTGCGCATGGCATTCTGCTATGAGCTGCGTCCCTCTTCCAACTCTAATGTCCCTGGATTTAAGTTGCCTGCTTCCCAGATCATTCCCGCCAGCGAGGAGCTCTTGGACTCGATTACTGTCATGGTTGGTGAGGTGCAGAAATTGGGCTATTTCAAGTAATAATTTCTACAATAAAGGACTCAAATTTTAAAAGCCTATTTGTACATTAGATTCTTTCTGGTCACATTCGATTGGCAGGAGAATTTATTGGGACTGAGAAAATCTCAGTGAGCTCATCGATATCTATTTAAGGGTCCCAACCAGAATTGCTGGTCTTAGAACGTTGTCAATTGATTGTTTCAATTGGTAAAAAAGAGTTATTGGTCCTCATTTGTTGCATTTTCAGTTAGCATAGATAACTCTAAACCTGAAAATTTCGAGGAAATGCGAATAAAATTTAATAGCATCCCTAATACTCATGGGAAATACTCATGAAACGGATATTTAATAACCGAGCCGCTTCGGTTGATAAGATTGATTTAGGATCTGTTAGTCAACAAATTCTTTTAAAACTGTTAATGAATGACAGCAACAGCTCATGGTGAATGGCCATGTATTTCACATTTTATATAGTAGAAATACTTATTCCTTTCATACGAATATATATATAACAAGTAAGAAAGCTCTAGTCGAGACTGCTCGACTACGAGATCCCCTGAACCCTTGGAGCAATAGATATTTCAATAATTTTTCGCGTCTTTCAGTTTACACAAGAAACACGCACACACACGCACGTACGCACACACAGGCATACACACGCATACAGACACACATACACACACACACGCATAAATACACAAACGCATACACACACACACATACACACACACATACACAAACACATACACACACAAGCAACCACGCATAAACAATAACGGATCTTTTTCTTGCAGTTTTCTTTTGTCCGATTTGGCGTTGAAGCTCAAAATCGGACTTGTTGTTAGTTTTTTAAAATAAAAAAAATGTTGTCATTTGAAATTAAAAAATTTTTTTTTTGTTTTAGGGGGCTAATACATAATAGATTTGAGAAAAAATGTGAAAACGGTAAAAAGTTAACTTACTGCTAAAGAAAATACTTATTGAAATAAATAAATAGTCTTGTCCGATTTGGCGTTGGAGCCACTGTACACACACAGGCATACATACACACACACGCATACAGACACACATACACACACACACCCGCATACACACACAAACACATACACAGACACACATACACACACACATACACAAACAGTTACATACATATACACACACAAGCATAAACACGCATGGGCGGTAGTGAGCGCTTACTATGAGAACTTAATTGCTTAATAACTTTTTTTGTGGACGTACGATCTTCATGAAACTTTCAGATTATGATTATAACATAGATATGCATGTAATTGCCAAAGCACAAGTCTCTAGTATTTGAAATACGCTTTTTACAAAAGTGAGGGTGAGGGGGTGAATTTAACGGTGGGGGGTAAATTTTAACAAAAACCGAAATTGTATAAATTGCATATAAGCATACATTAAAAATTTGGAGACTCTAGCAATAAAGGTGTAGAAGATATAATTTTATAACTGGTTTTCGATAAGGGTTTTTATCGATAAAAAACGATCGGGATGAGTTATCGATTTTTAATGATAAACTTGATATGCGCGCTGTAATTACGGACATTTAAAAAAAAATTTGAAGTCTCTAGCTCTTATATCTTCGGAAATCGACGCGTTCAAACATACGGACAGACGGACAGACGGACAGACGGACAGACAGACAGACGGACAGGGCCAAATCGACTCAGCTCGTCGCCCTGATCAAGAATATATATACTTTGTGGGGTCTGCCACGCCTCCTTCTGCCTGTTACATACATTTCAACAAAACCATTATACCCTGATTTCCCATTTTCAATGGGTTCAGGGTATAAAAAGAATTTTAAATCGTAAATAAAATAGAATACAGTGTTGCCCAATCGCTTGCTCCACACGAGCTTGGGTGGGCTGAATAGTGCTTGAAGTTTAAGTTTTATGTGTAAAAGATAAGGTGTCAACAGAAGTCTTAATAGTTTTCAGTCAGCATTTAAACGTACATTAATGAATACGTTCGCGAGTACCTGAATACGCTACGTTGGCCTTCTGTATCAGCCCATCAATTTATAGACTGCAAGTCACTGAATAGTGCCGAGTACTTGATAATTAGTTCAAAGAAAAGGCTCCTGACTTGAAAGAAATCCACCAAAAGAGGTTTCAAAAAGTGCAGTGATTTACACTGCAGTAATAAAAGTATTGATAAGGGCTTGGACACAGATTACGCTCTTATTTATGCGCCTAGGAATTGACGTCTTAATCGCAAAGGCTATAAATATGGTTTAGTTAATTGACTTATCAGCGCTTATCAACCTGTTGCGCTATAAGCTCTAGCGACAATAAAAACCAACCACGCGACCTTAAATGGCTAATAACCACGACAACCATGTCGCTGAACAAGTCGCTTCTTTTCGCTCTGTTTGTCCTTTTGGCCACTGTTGGGTTCAATGGGGCAGAACGTGTCCGCTTTGACAACTACCGTCTATACAAAGCCAATGCCGAGAATGCCGAGCAGCTGGCTGTGCTGAAGCAGCTTGAAGGATCATCGGATTCCATTTTGTTCTTGGATGGTGTTCACCTCGTTGGAGCCGATGTTCAGATGGTTGTTGCCCCACACAAAGTGCCTGATGTATTGGAGATTCTGGGCAAAGCTGAGATTAAATATGAGCTGCAGTCCAAGGATTTCCAAAAGTCGTTGGATGAGATTGACGAGAAGGTGGCACCCAAGGGTCGCGCCAGCTCCGACTATAATTGGGCGCAGTACTATGAACTGGATGATACATACAGCTGGATGGTTAGCCTGGCAAAGATGTACCCACACGTTGTCACATTGATTGAGGGTGGAAAAACCTATCAGGGACGTTCAATTCTAGGCGTCAAAATATCCAAGAGCCTCAGCGAGAAGCCAGGCATATTGTTGGAGGCTGGCATTCATGCTCGCGAATGGATCGCTCCCGCTGCTGCCACCTTCATCATCAATCAGCTCTTAACCTCAAACTTGGATTCCGTCAAGGACTTGGCCGACAATTACAATTGGTACGTCTTCCCCCATGCCAATCCCGATGGTTACGTGTACACCCACACCACAAATCGTATGTGGCGCAAGACCCGCACTCCCTACGGCAGCTGCTTCGGCGCTGATCCCAACCGCAACTGGGACTTCCACTGGAATGAAGTTGGTGCAAGCTCCGATCCATGCTCCGATACCTACGCTGGACCTAGCGCATTCTCTGAGATTGAAACCCTATCGCTGTCGAACTACATTGCCTCGATAAAGGACAAGATCCAGCTTTATGTTTCGTTCCATTCCTATTCGCAGTACCTGCTTTACCCCTATGGACACACAAGCGATCTGCCTGATAATGTAAAGGACTTCCAGCAGGTGTTTAATGCTTCCATCGCTGCTGTCTCCCAGCGCTACAATACGAAGTACACTGGTGGCAACATCTACGATGCCATCTATCCGGCAGCTGGAGCTAGCATCGACTGGGCCTATGGAACTCAGGGTGTGCGCATGACTTTCTGCTATGAGCTGCGTCCTACATCCAATTCGATCCTCACCGGTTTCAAATTGCCCGCTGAACAGATCATCCCTGCTAGTGAGGAAGTTCTGGACTCGATTACCGCCATGGTTGGGGAGGTCAAGAAGCTGAAATACTTTGACTAAAGGAAGAAAACATAGCGGTATGCATTGGATCCTTTTTGGTATATTGCGATGGATTTTACCAGATTATTCAAATAGTTTGCATAAATGAGATTTCTTATTTTCAATAAAATGATTGTATTGTGTAGAGGGTTCATACATGCAACAGTTTTTAGCTATTAATAAAGATTGCTGAATTTTAAGTTTTTTGTATGATTACTTTGATTATCATACTAGACCTAATCTCTTTCTCGATTGATGTAGTTAAATATGGGTCGAAACGTGAGAAAGTAAACAAACTCAAAAGCCGAGACAATGCTGAAGCCTAGAATTAGGCCAAGAAGACCGCCAAATGACGCTGAAATAAGAAAGTATATTAAACAGCTATGGGAGGTATCAATGGACACGAGCTTACCCAATGATGAAAGCCAGTTCTGAAAGATCTCCATACGATATCTGGTGGACATCAGGTCGCTATAAAAGACGTGCACCAATATGCTATCTGTGTGATTCGAGCTGCAATTCGAATGCAGTAGATCAGCTTTACCACTCGGTTAATATTTCAGGGAAAGTCTTGCCTGTTGGCCATTTTGTTGCGGGAGTAGCTGGCGTCCAGCCGGCCCATAGTGCTCTCGGAGCCATATTGATTCGACTCGCAGTCCGGCAAACAATCGCAGGGAAAATTTTCCGTATTGCGTACTATGGAGTAGGGAGTGTCTAGATTGGCCAGGGCGCGTGAGAAGAAACCTAATTTCAAAATTAAGAAACGCATTCAGCACGACAGCCTTCGATTCGGCTCAATCTTCTCCTACTCACGCTTGGTTTGGAGCATGCAATTCATGTCAAGCACGCCGCAGATCTTGATAGTCCCATTGTTGATCAGATAGGCTGGCAGGCAGCCGCAGCGCTTAAAAGTCATCTTCATCCTGCATTCGAACATGCAGTTGATGAAAGAATAGCGTTTAAGGCCATCCAACTTGCGCTCACTGCCAAAGAGGCAGTTCCTCCAGCGCAGGTCCATCTGACGAATGTCCTTCGTGGCATACGTTGACGCTGGGTTGATGCGCACGAAGCTCTCGCGAGTCGATGTAACCACCTTGGTTTCGGAATTCTCATCCGGAAAATTATAGGCATCATGAATGAGCAGACGAAATCCAAATCCACTAAAGAAGGTGCCGTAATAATCGGCTACCATCGGATCAAGCAGGACAGATAGACCCGTCGTATAGCCACAGCCAGTTACGCGATAAGGGCGCTTGGGCACTTGGTAGGCGATTTTACTAATAGAAAGATCAAATTGATGAAGTTACAGGTAAAGAAACTAATTTAACTACTACAAAGCTGTCCATATTCGATGGACCAATCTGGCAACCCCATACCTTTTTACAGAGATGGGCACAATACGCCGTATAGACTCATGGTGGCTATATGAGAGATATCCTATTTAAAAAGTGATGTCAACAAATCTACATCGTCAATACTAAAACAAAAGTGTTTTCCGTTGAATATAATCAGTATGCCTACATCTTTGACGATCTAGCGTTCCTTTATATTTTTGACTGTTAACTCATTATTATAGCTATTTGAATACCGTAGCTGGGTGCGATTGTTGGGTCAGATATTGAGATACTAATTATAATGATTATAATATGACATAATGTAGTTTAGATTGGACAGGAGATTGTCTACTACAATGGGAAACCAAAATTAAATTTTATTTCTATCAATTATAGATATATCCTCATATTTAGATAAATTTTAATATATTATATTCAAAGCTCTAGTCGAGACTACCCCACAACGAGATCCCCTGAACCCTTCGAGCAACCGACATTTCAATAATTATTCGCACATACACACGCATTGGCTAAAGTGGTGGCTTTGTATGGGAAATTAATTGTTTAATAAGTTTTCTTATGGGTGGACTATCTTCCTGAAACTTTCACATTATGATTGTAACATGTATATGCATGCATGTGTTTGAAATACGTCTTTTACAAAGTTGATGGAGAGCGGGTGAATATAGGGGAGGGGAGTAAATTTTAACAAAAATCGAAATTCTATAAAGTACATATGAATCTATATTTATTCTAGCTTTAAAGATGTACCAGATATAAATTTATTACTGGTTTTCGATAATGTTTTTAATCGATAACACAATAGCGGGGGCAAGTTATCGATTTTTAAAGCAAAACTTTATATGCGCGTGGTACACACGGACCTAGGAAAAAGTGAAGTCTCTTTTATATCTTCTGAGATCGACGCTCTTAAACATAGGGACAGACGGACAAATCGACTCAGCTTGTCGCTCTGATCAAGAATATATATACTTTATGGGGTCTGCCACGCCTCCTTCTGCCTGTTACATACTTTTAACAAAACTATTATACCCTGATTTCCCATTTTCAATCGGTATAACAAGAGTCGAACTCTGAATCCTAAGTTGGAAAACTACAGCTATGGAATGGATCTATTCAATAATTTGTTCGTTATATTCTCACTTTGCGAATATTTTGATGTCTTAAAGAATCTGAAAAGATGAAGACTGTCTTTCCAATTTAAATATAATACAAATTTTTATTACGCTAATATCGCAAATTAAATCTACTGAAAAGATTTCCAATTTATTGATCAGTTACGGCTGCTCTTATTCGATTCCACATTAATACTATTTAAAAATATAGTATTATTGCTAGCCATTAAATCCGGTTGATTTGTGCTGAGACAACATAGATAACTTGTAAGGTCTTTGAAACAGATAGCCCCCATCTATGTACTTCTGCTAGAATCACTTACACTGGGAAGTTGTTGGTCATGGTTGCGAAAAAGTTGAAGCTGCAGCAGATGCCCTGTATGGTGACGATGCGCTGAAACAGACTCTCGCAGCGCGTCTTGATGCCCTTCCAAATGCAGCGGGAAATCATGTCTAGGCAATCGGGAGACAGGCGATTCATCAGTTCCGTAAGCGTAATATTATTCAATCTCAGTATTCTATCGTAGATTTCCAATGAACTATTGTTAACTGTGCGGCCGGTGGGAAATAAAGTTAGATTAAAGAGCTCCTGTAGCTCCCCTTTGGTTACATTCGGTGGCAACCGCCTGAAGAATTTCGGAATAATAAATATATTGGATTCTTTGGCTAAAGATTCTTCTGTGCCACTCACATGTGCTCCATCAGCATTAACGCTTTCGTTTTGGACACCCTGTTGAAGTTGCATATGGTTACTGCTGGAAAGGGTATATTCCAGGTGGGAAAGTGCGAGCTCTCAATGACAGTCACCGTGGGTGTCTCACGATTCGAGTACCAGGAGGTGAGCACAAGGGATATGGCACTAATGATAGCTGCTATGACGACGCCGAGCCAAAAGCAACGCTCGTTTCGGCTGATGTCCGGCCGTGTAATATAGCTGAAGCCGTGCAGTGAGGTGGTCTGGCAAAAATTACGCAGACTGTCCATAAACCATATTCGTATCTCTCGAAAGTGATAGATTCTCCATTGCTTGGACGTTTTCTCTATGCTGTTTTTGCTGTTGCTTTTATGGTGCTCGCTCGGTTTCCTCTGCAGCTGTTGCGACTGAACCAATCGCATATCGAAGATGCGTCGCTTCTTGAAGGCCATATTGACCAGCAGGAGGTGCTTCGGGCAACTGACTGAATGGACTCTATGTATTGGGAAAGCTGGCTAATTGGCTTGTGCTAATTAGCCTTCGTGCCATTAGCTCGTTGCTGACGACGTCGCCTGTAGCGTATTTGCTGCCGAGTTAGCCAGTTACATGTGGGTCGCACACACACAAAGAATATCAGCTCGAACACAGATACGAAACTGCAGCCCATAAATAGGCCGGTGATGCCGCCAAAGGTACCTGTCACAAAGCAATTGATAGGTTGTTTATTAAATATAGGTCTTAATGGTCGTTAGCCACAGTTAAACTTCGCTACATCAAACAAGCTTTAGGATATTTCTTTCGAGCTGAGTTTTACAAAGCTTTTCCAAATTATCTTTTATATGAATGTTTTATTTTACTTATAATAAGTCCTTATTGCAGTTTGGGAAGATGATACTAGGAATTCTCCATAAATATATCTGTATATCTGAAACCTCTCTCTTCAGGCACCTTCAAAATGATTTTTATATTGCGAGTCGACTTCAGTTATCATAATTAAAGAGTATGAAGTAAATTGTTTTCAATACTCTTCCTTAAATATAAATCAATTTTATTTGGATTCAATGCCTATAGATAGGTGTATATAATATCATTAACTATATAAAAGATACGATAAAGCGATACGAATTGGTCGTTAGATATTGATAAATTAAAATGTACGGAGCTTAAAGAACTGTGAAATGAATAAGGGATCTCAACTTTTTACTTTATTTAATAAGCCATTAAGATCTGACTTTGTATATAAATACCCCATAAATGTTTCGGTCTTAATGTTCCAGAGTTTTCTATATAGTTGCTCAATTGTACTTACCTATAAAAGTAAGAAAATTCTCATAGACATCTAAACGTAGTCGCTCCTCGTTAAATGAATCAAAGTATACATGTAGTAGAACCTCGTCCGAACCATTAAAGTTCTTGCTGCCATAAAATAATTATAGATGTGTACAAAGATATCAGTTTAGCTCCTCACTACAAATATCAAACTTACTAGAAGGAAATATTATAATGATTAGCTTGAAACATCGGGTAGCTCTCATTCAGGGCTGCCATATCGATTTGCATTTCATAGCGCTTGAATTGGCAGGATGGCAGGCAATTGCAGAAGCTTTGCGACTGATCCCAGCTGTAAGCTAGAGACAATATAATTAAATTAAAGCAAAATTTGGCGGGTATATGCAAATTCTATATTAATCAATTAAAAAAAAAAAAAAAAAAAACAAGTAAGAAAACTCTAGTCGAGAGTGCTCGACTAGATACCCTGAACCCAACTAATAAAAATGCCCATTTACTATGGCTAAAATTTCAATTTCGATGTATTTAAAAATATAAATTAAATAGAAAACTCATTTATGAAAATATAAAAATATTTTGAAGCAATTAAAAAAATTATCATCAGTTGCACCTGTAAAACTCTTAGAGATACAGTTTTATCCGATTTGCCACGCCCCCAATGCGCGGAGATATATCCGCCATAGCTCATTATCTTGGGTGGTCGACGCGGACCTACATACCAAATTTCAGCTTTCTAGCTTTTCAACAAACATGATTTCTGGCATATCGAAAAATGCATTTTCCGATTTGCCACGCCCGTAGTGGGCGGATCGGAAAAATTGTAACACTTTATAAATCGGAGATATACAATAGCGCCGAAATAAATTGCGTTCATACGGACAGACGGACGGACAGCAAGACGGACATTGCACAAAACCAATATACTAATTCACTTTCGTAAATGAGTATAAAACAAGTAAGAAGGCTCCAGTCGAGACTGCTCGACTAGGAGATACCTTGAACCCTCCAAGCTGATACTCTAATCATTCTGCACTTTTTCTATGTACACATACATACACATGCACTTATAAGCACGCGCTCTGTTAACTGTGCAGTAAAAAGCGGCTGCTCTTGGGCTGCACTGCAATGTGGGCAATATTATGACAATATATTTGTTGAGTAATTTCTTTTGTAGACATACAATCTTAATGAAACTGCTTAGTTAATGAAACTGCTCACTTAATGACTGCTCAGTTAGCAGCGACTGCGCTTGGGCTGCGCTGCAGTGCACTATGGGCAAAAATACCGATAGTGAGGCATTAACTGCAACTTTAAAGATAGAGCCTTGAAATTTTGCACATATGTTGCTAATATTAATACAAAATTTCGGTTTTTTAGACTCATTCACGAAAGTGAAATGAGTATATTGCTGTCCGTCCGTCTGTCCGTCTGTCCGTCTGTCCGTATGAGCGCAATCTATTTCGGCGCTATTGAAGCTAGAGACTTGAAATTTGGAACACATACTCGTGTATATCTCCGATTTATAAAGTGTTAAAATTTTCCCGATCCGCCCACTAGGGGCGTGGCAAATCGGAAAATGCATTTTCCGATATACCAGAAATCATGTTTGTTGAAGAGCTAGAAAGCTGAAATTTGGTATATAGGTCCGCGCCGACCACCCAAGATCACAAGCTATGGCGGATATATCTCCGCCCATTAGGGGCGTGGCAAATCGGACAAAACTGTATCTCCTAAAGTTAAAAACCTAGAATGCTGAAATTTTGCACGTAAGCTGATGTTTTAATTCTATGAAGATGGGTGAAAAAATTATATATCTACGCCCACTAGGGGCGTGGCAAATCGGACCTGAAGATATAGTGATTTTTCGAATTCTGTTATATTTTAGGCACTATTGATGCTAGAGATCTGAAATTTGGTATATATACGCGGGTTGATCCCCCAAGTCCAACGAGCTATGGTAGATATATGTCCGCCCATAGGGGGCGTGGCAAACCGCAAAAGTTTATATCTCCTACAGTTTAAGAGCTAGAAGCTTCAAATTTGGATAGTTAAGTTACTGGTAGCCTCCTCTATCGATGCCCCAAAAATAATTTTTAAGCCTCTTTAGGGGCGTGGCATATCGAAAAATACCCTGTAATTTTCACATTTTTTGAGCGTAAGAATTCAAATTTTGCATTTAGGTAACCGGTTGCTCGTTCTAAGAACTGGCTAAAATTGAGGAGTCGACGGCCACTAGGGGCGTGGCAATCGGCATTTACAGTGCCCGTATTGCGACATTTGTATACGTCAGCCATCTATTTATGCATTTGTACATATAAATAAGCTTAATAGATATTCATAATACAAAAAGAAACATTTTTATGAATTTAAAAAAATTTAAAAGAAGCTAAAATAACAAAAATTTGCAATTTACAAAAAAGTGTTTTCCGCGGGATTTGAACTCGCACCCAACCCAAACAACATGTTTGTCAAAATAGCTAAAATAATGGCCATCGGCGCTTCAGCCTACAGCACCACCGCGTTGTTTCGATGAACAGTAGTTAAAACGAAATCACATTATTGTTATGACGCCACATAGCAAAGAAAAGCCAGAGTGGTGGCTGGAAATTCAAAAACAATGCAGACAAATCAATCGCAACGAGATTCTTAGAATATGCTAGAGTACGCATTTATGTGTGCATACATACACACATACAAATGAGCGCGTGTATAAGGCTGGAATGCTTGATGCTATGCGTGCAGACTTACATATATACATATGTATATATTTGCGTATATGTATTTGAGGGCTATTTAAGAAGAAACAAATTTAAACTTATAAAATTATTCGACTAAGAAAATGAAAAGTATTAAGTGCCATTCAGTCAAGCTCGCACCTTTCCAATAAAATATCTATTTTATAAAAAACGAAATATGTATGAAAAAAAAAAATAATAATAATAACATAGTAGAGGTCTTGCGTCGCCCTTAGCACCCGCGCCACTGCTTTGCTCGAGCGATCAGTTGCTAAAATAGAATAGCTTAATAAGAGAGCGTCATCAGACAAAACTACAGTAACGGCTAGAAAGTCCAGAAATCAATCGAAATTCTAAGAATGTGAGAAAAGGCGCGCTTCTGTCTGTACGCATAGAATAGACGATGAGTGTGTGCACATGTATAGTAAAATCGCGCTGATCTGCTGCTAGCTTGAAGCCGGTATCCAATATATGGATATAAATACATATATATTATTAAAAGTCTAAATTTTATAAATTATATACAATAGCAATAGCTATCGATGATTTTCCAATTTTAATGGGATCATGCCCTGTTTTTTGTTGCGCACTAGACTTGAAAATTGCACTATATACTCTGGTTGACAGCGTTTGGGCTGTGAATGAGTCTTCTGCAATCGGTATCGCCCGACTGCAACGTTCTTACTTGTTTTTTTTTTAAGTTTGAGCCACGCCCTCCCCTTGTCCCCATACATGTGATAAATTTACCGATGAATATCGAAACGATTGCAAGCAATTTCATAAATATTATATATTTTAAGTTAATAAACACTATAAATAAATTCAAAAATAAGTAAATAAATAATTTACTACATATATATTCGCGATTCGCAAATCTGAAAGCAAAACATAGGATATGATATTATTCGTAGGATTCATTTTCTAATTGTCACATAATACCTGTTAATTAGTTTCTAATAGTCTTCATTTTCTTCTTCCAATTCGATGCCGTCCAGTTCAGAAGAGATTACATTCTGTTCTTCTTCCTCTTCTTCATTCTCAGATTGATCATCTTTGTTATCTAATGATTGTGAAGCATAAACATCGGGTTCTTCGAGAAGGGAGCATATGTTGATATATTGTTGTTTGGACAACCCATTTTCCATTAAAAATGCTAATGCCGCCTCAGCAGTTATAGGTACTACTGCAATGGATGATTGCTTATTTTCTGCTTCCCACACATTCTCATTGCTCATAGCTTTTTGTAACAGATAAGTTTTTTCGGTTTCTTTTGATTTTTTTTGATGAAATCAAAGCAGCATGTACCAAAAGGGGTGTTGCGTTTTTGCTCTCTTCGGCAAGCTCAGAAGCTAATTTCCTCCTTAATCGGGATCCCGCTTCATTATAGTTTAAGCTCTTCCGACCTCCCATATTATTATTGTTGTCATGACGGTGTATTTTAAACTTAGCACTAGAAGCTAGCCAAAGAGAATGTTTTTGTTTAAATCGATTCATATTTCGATTACATTTTTTCAAATTATATTTCATATACGACGTCAAATTATGGACTTTCTCTTTAATAATGTCAAGTTGCACTTCAGATATATATTCGCTGTTTAAATTTTCCAAAATGTAGTTTCTGACAGCGCTTTCTTGCCTATTGTTGCTGCTCCAAACTTCTAGCAACATTGAATTGCTAATCTCGTATGTATCTGCAACATACGATATTTCGCCAAATGGAGCAAAAAGGAGCAAAAACCCTTTATATCATTTGATTAAGGAATGTTTACTGAATACCTTGCTACTTAAACATTGAACAACAAACTCTAACATTATAAGTTATCTTCCACGAAACACACAAATATTTTTAAGGTTACGGCTGAAAATACAACTAGCAACACATTGGACGATTACACAATAAATCACAAGTAGCACAAAATCTTTTAATACATTCTGTTAAGCATACCTTTAAGAAGATTTTCCATAGTTAAATTGGTTTGTAAATTTTAATTGCAATAGTTTTTTTACGTCGACAGCTGAGAATAATTTGGCGCACTTTTTGCCATTCACCATGCAACCCTGAATCAGCTGACTTTGACGAAGCTTAAAACATTAGGGGAAGTCCCCAAAATTTTATAAAAATTGTTTTTATGTCTATTGGAATATCCTTAATGAGATAAAAAAAAAAATTGCGGATTCGAGATAAAAAAAAATTAGGTTTATGCCGCACTATCGGTATTTTTGCCCATAGTGCAGTGTGGGCAATATTATGACAATATATTTGTTGAATAATTTCTTTTGTAGACATACAATCTAAATGAAACTTTCAAAACGTAATCATATGTCAATATGTGTGTACATTCCAAAGCACAAGTCTCTAGTACTTGAAATACGTATTTTACAAATTGAGGGCGAAGGGAGCGTAGTATCTAAAATCTGTAAATTACAAAATCGTTGTATCAATTAACTTTATATACAATGTAAATTTGAAGTCTCCAGGTCTGAAAGTGTTTAAATTAGGCTGAAAAGGCCAAGTCGATTTTTCGATTATTCTCGATAAAAAATTTATCGAACGAGTTATCGAAAAAATACACGAGTATGCATGCCAAATTTCAGCTCTCTAGCTCTTATATTTTCTGAGATTCTTTTGCTCATACGGACGGACGGACGGACGGACAGAGGGACTGGGCTATATCGACTCAGCTCGTCGTTCTGATCAAGAATATATATACTTTATGGGGTCTGCGATGATTCCTTCTGCCTGTTACATACTTTTCACAAAACCATTATAGCCTGATTTCCCATTTTCAATGGGTTCAGGGTATAAAAAATATAATAAATATATATTGTATTTATACAATCAAATACAAATCAATAGTTCAATAGGACTAGTGTATTTCATGAGCAGATATATAGCTCAACAGCTTATGAACTAGTGTTGTATTCATTACAGAATAACTAAGCAATGAACATGTTCTTCAATTTTCTATCTGTTTTCTGCTCTTCTATACTCTTCAGGCTTTGTCTCTTCTCTTCTTCTTCTGCCTCCTGTTACATATTGTTTTCATCTTTTATTTTCTGCTCCCTTCACTTTTCGTCTCATCTCGTTCCCCTTTGGTTCTTTCCTTTTCTTTCCATATCTTCCCCGTTCTGTTCTGTTCTGTTCCATGAGTGGAACAACTTACCCACTTCGCTCAGGCATTTCAGCTGTTCCAGTTCACAAAGAGGCCATTGCGAAAGCCTCGGCATGTGGGGATGCACACAGCTGCAAGCTTGAAGGATCCGCTCGCTCTCACACTCTGCTAGGCAATTCGCTTGGCTGTATTTTGGATAGTAGAATAGCCGGCGCTCCTGGCTCAAATAGCAGCCTCTTTTGGCTGGCTTTAAGCCGTCAATATAGGGCGTGGCATGGGTACTGTAAGACCTCAACATGACGTGAGCCTCTGTGCCTCGTGGAAGGAGCGCACGTTCTGTGGCTGCATGAATTCCAGAGTGGGCCTCGTGCAGCAGCAACTGGAAACCAGCTGCGGAATGTCGTGAGCTGGCATAATCCTCTAGCTGGCTGGCAAGGCGTATGGTTAAGCCCTTGGCCGGATTGCCAGCTGTGTAGATGGGTGTTCCGTTGAAGGTGCAACATCGACCCTCAGTGTAGCTCCAGCTGGGGGTGAGCAGCCGATCGCAGCTTTGAACTAGGCCCTGCCACAGGCAACCCAAGACCTGAGACTCACAAGTGCGTGGAGCCAGGTTCTCCAGCAGCTGAGACCAGCTAATGTTGCCAGATATCCATTCATGCTCATTCAGACTCCAATTGTGCTTAGTTAACCAGGGCAAAGACTGTGCCGGCAACGCCCACTCCTTCATCCTGAGCTGACTTTTCGATATGCGATTCATACTACATATACTCAACGCCGGGTAGTTCATCGACTGCTCCGAAATGGGCTGCAACATGCTCTCGATATACCTTATGGTGGGCGTCTCCGCAGAGAGGCTATAGGACATGATCAGTACGAGGAGGGAGAGAAGTATGGCCGTGCAGATGAGCAGCCACCAGAGCACACGCTGCCAGGTGCAAGCCCCGACGAATACATGGAATCCATGGATGCTCGACATCTCGCAGTAGATCTCGAAGCCCGTCTTCGATTTGCAGAGGCCGTCGTCATGGCGAGCACGCAGGAAGTTTAGAAATCTGGGCAATGGCATCTGCTCCAGACGCTTGGAAAATCTCGCACGTTGCGTGCGCAAATATCGCAGGAACTTAAGTCTCTGCAGTATCTTATGGAACTGCTCACATCGGGTTTGAGGTCTTTCCGGCCTATCGAAGCACTGCAACGGCATTATCTTATGCGGTCGCTTGGGTCGCAGATAGGCCTCAAAGTTGATTAGATAGATGGGCTGGGGAGCATCTTTAGCTGGGGTAGTTGGCATTTTGTTGAGTTTTATTTTGAACAAAGGATTATATCTTTAACCTGTTAAAGATTATATAAAAATTTGACCTATATAAATAGGTATATTATTATTATATTGTTAGATACATTTAAAAACATATACTATACTGTATATACTTTATATCGAATATATTGTGGACGAGATGATACGCTGTCACTAAAAAGTCAGAAGGAGGCCAATTAGGAGGCCACAAAATAATATGTATATTGCTGAATTGTTAACATCAATATTGCAAATTTAAGGATATCAAAAGGTGGAAAACAAAATTAAGTTTATTACAAAACCTATTATATTACGACTACAGATGTGTATTTAAAAAGATCTTTATAATTTGTAAATATGGGAAATTATAGTTTTATATACAGACTTTAGATTTGTTTGCTCTCTACAAATATAAATATATTCAACATTTTTATTTGAACAGAACTTACGAGATTAACAAAATTTGCCCAAAATAATATTTATAAAATATTCAATTCACTTTCTCAAACAAATAATTTCACTTTTTAAACATGTTACAAATTCTATATATCTTATATATTGGTTTAGAATATAACCTTTCTGGAGTTTCGTTTCACTTGCGCCAACCATCTATTTTCGAGTAGCCGAAATTCATTTGCTTTATATATGGTCAGTCGTGTATGCCCCAAATCATTAGCGTTACGCCCACTCGTTGGTCAATTGAGCTCGACACGCCCTTCAGCTGTTGAGCATAGCGCTATCAGGCTTTGCTGCTGCTTGATTAGCTCTATCAGCCTCATTATATATCTTCTCACCTTCACACCTGTGAGAATGATTGTAAACAATAGAAAAAAAAGACAATTAAGCATTTGTTTATATGGGGGTAGCTACTGAGAGTAGCCAAGCGATAAGCATGATAAATAAATAATAATAGGAAATTGTTTACAGCTAAATATTGCTTCCTATTCCTAAAGAACAGTTGAACACAGCAGATATTGTTATTATTATTGTTATTGTTGTTATGCATTGCTTAGCTAATGAGTTTGTTGTTTCTTTTGTTGTGATTGCTGTTTGCGTAGAGTACATACCCACCCAGTTACCCACTCACCCACCCACACACAGTCAACAAGACATCCACATAGTAAGCATGGCTCTCTTTTCTCTATTTCTCTTTCTCTCTTGATAAGAAATAAGTTGACATCCTATTAAATATTCAGCACAAGACACACGGTTCTGTTGCCCTGTAGCCCTGATAGATATATACAAGTATACAGTATACAGCTAGGTATATGCATATATACTCCCCAAATACAGATACATCAAAGTCACGCGCAAATTGGGCGATAGAAATGGATATGGTTTGGTCTATGGCTCTTATGGCTATGGCAAGGTGATTCACTAACGGTTGGTCATACGATATTCACATAGTGTAATATGTATGTCTGTATACATGTATCACTAATCCATATCTATATGAGCAGGGATTCCTATTTAATTTAACTTCTAAAAATTACTTTTACTAGAATACAAAATTTAGCTTCAGAGAATTACTTTTACTAGTATACAACATTTTGACAGTTACAATTGATAAATGAGAATAGTTGATAGTTGGACTATTTTTATGACAAAAGTTATTTACTCCCGTTATTCTTGTCAAACTGCAACTCCAGCCTGAAGCCGGTCATGTACAAAAGTAACATACCCTTTTCACTGTCAAGAACGTGTATAGTAATTTAAAGACTTAAAAAAAGCATTGAATACTTTTAAGCGTAACGTAAAATCCAATTACCCCCGAATCGCGTGCAATTATTTGGGCTCACAATATTTAGATACGAGAAAAGAGTTTGCTTTCGACCGGGGCAAATATTTGGGGTTTCTATGAAAAATTGAATGCCATAAATTTTCGCCGAATCGACGTTCGCATGGCTTTAATTAATTGGATTTTATTATTAATATGTTTTGTCGTATACATATTGTCTTTTGTTGTGGTTGTCTTTGTTTTTTTTTTCCTTTCTAGTCCAAATATAGGTGCACGAGCCGGCGCCTAATGATATTATAATATTCTATGAACATTTCGATTCATTCATTTGGCAGCCACGTGCCACAGCAACACATACATATATATGTATTGTATATTTATATATTATATTTATTACAAAATAATGTGGCCGATGTCGGGGAGAGATAAGAGAATTGTGCGACAGCTGATCTCAGCGTGCTGTTGGAGCTGGTGGAAAAAAACTGCGAGTGCAACTGAACTTGAAGCCTTAAAATAAAAATTGATGGCGTTTATTTTTAATATATAAGTCAGACTTAACTGTAAACTGTAAGCTGTATCCATATGGCATATATGTATATAAAGCTCTGTATTACAAACCTCTAGGTGGCCTGATCATGCAGTTACCTTTCTTGTAAATGCTTTAAGTGGCGTGATTCTGCCGTAACTTCGCTTGCGAGCTTTGAGAGTCGTAAGATTAAGCTACAGAGTGGCTTAAGAGAGATTATAAGAGAAATTATGTATGCATACCAAATACTCTAATTTGTTGGAGTATGATGAATACGTAACTCCTCCAACCCGAGAATGTAGCCTGTCCTCAGGCGGTACACTTGAAGTATTACCATTCTACAACCTTTTTGTATCTTGAATTAGTTAACAATTAAGTGGACTTAATTCTAACAATTCATCTTTTTTAGTATTAAATTTATGATTTTTTTTTTCAATATTGATTAACATACTTATATAGTGTGACTAACAATTCGTTTTTTTTTTCGTTATTTGGTTTTTTTTGTATTCTTTGCTATTTTTCTAATATTAGGTATTAATATTTCGGATTATTTTAGATGTTCAAATATCAATTCTGAAAAGGTGATGTTAGGTTAAATAAATTGTTCAAAATGTTTTAATGATAGTAATAGCTCAAAAATGTTGGTGGGTTTATTTTATCTATTTATTTATTTTTTTTTTTTTATTTATTTATTTTTTTTATTGATATGTGGAGTAGGGATATGTGGAATCAATTGTCATCAGTATGAGTCATAAAAACAAGTTCAGGAGGCCTGGTGTGATAGTTAGAGTCATTAATAACCTTCTTACTCATAAATTGATTTTTATGATGAATAAACTCCCTTCCTCTGTTTAATTCGCTAAAGTGTTTCTCGTCAACAGCCTTAATTTTGGCAGTTTTCTTGAATGGGTTTTGAAGTTTGCCTTTCAATATTGGTGCTTTTTTATATTTTGTATTGACTTCAAAAGATTTTCTATTTTCGTTGACTTTATTAATTTTTTGTGTTTTTAAGATTTGATTACTGTATGCAGGGGTACCTGCAAAAATAAACAAATGGGCTGGTGTTCTACCTGTGCTATTGTGTTTAATTTTATGATTATAAATGAATAGGATAGTTTCGATTTTCATCTGCTTTTCTTCAACGTAAGTATCAGTATTTATTATTCTAATACGCTCGTTTAAGGTTTTGTGAAAGCGTTCAATGTCCGCAACCCCTGTCTTTGTTGATGCTAATTCTAATTTAACCTCCTCCGAAGTCAACCATTGTTTAATTGCGTTACTTGTGAAGGCTGAGTCTCTGTCTGCTTTGAGTGTTATCGGCTTGCCCATTTGAGTAAATACTTGTAATAGTGCACGTTTGGCTTCCAGCCAGTCACGGCTTTTCACTTGTACTAACATGACAAATTTTGAATAAATGTCGATACATGTTAGATAAGTTTTATTCTCTGAAATATAAAAGTCTATCATAAATATTTCGCGAGGGTTGAATACTTCTGGTGTTAATTCAAATGGGGCGTTTGTATTTCTGTGTTCTGTTTTCGACAATTGGCAAACGTCGCATTGATTAATAATGTTTTGTATCAATTTACCAGAATCTGGGAAATAATAACTTTCTTTGAAAAGTCATAACATTTTTTCTATGCCACGGTGGATAAGCTTAATATGCTGTTTTAATATTAATTCTTTAAATTCAGCGTAACTTTCTATATCTTTCAAATATAATAATGCTCTTACAATGGAAGTTTTTTGGTCATGGACTATCTCCTTGTAAGCTTTTTGGATGATGAGAAAGTCGGGATCGCTTTCAATATAGAGTGCACTGGATTTAGCAAAAAGGTGGTCTATTAATAACTGCTTTGCAGATTCGAAAGTTATCTCTTTATAATTTATTATAATTTTTTGTTTTTTGAAATATTGTTCTACTTTAACTGAAATATTATCTGTTTTAACCATGATTACTTGTCGAGAGTAGTGATTTAGGGGCTTTTCCGTTAAAGGGATTAAGAATGAACTATCCTCTTCCGCACTATGTACAGTTGCACAAGTACTTCCTAACATTACTTCTTCGTGTTGTGATTGAATACGTGAAAGCGCATCGGCTACATAATTGGTTTTTCCTTGGATGTATTTTATTGTAAAATCGTATTCTGATAGGCGAATTTTCCACCTTTGGAGTTTCATGTTGGGATCTTGTATTGAGTGAAGCCAAACCAATGGCTTATGATCACTTAATACCTCGAAAGTCCTACCAAATAAATAGGGCCGAAAGTATTTTGTTGCCCAAACAATGGCCAATAATTCCCTCTCAATGGTGCTATAGTTTTGTTCGTGATCGTTTAGTGTTCGACTAGCGAAACAAATAGCTTTACCTTCTTGTGACAAAACAGCACCTATTGCTACACTACTAGCGTCAGTTGTGATTTGAAACAATTTTTTGAAATCAGGGCAAACAAGTATTGGGTCACTTGAAATTAGAATTTTTAATTTTTCAAAGGCCTGGAGATAAGCTTCGTTTCTTAAATCAATTTTATTTCCTTTTTTAAGACAATTGGTAATAGGTTTGGCAATTTGTGCGAAATTTGGGATAAATTTCCTATAGTAGCCGCATAATCCAAGAAATGATTTTATTTCTTTTGGACTCTTGGGAAGAGGAAAATATTTAATTGATTTTATTTTATCTTCATTGGGCTTGATGCCATATGGGCCTATAATATGACCTAAAAACTTTGTTTCCCTTTTAAGGAATTCGCACTTATCAAGCTGCAACTTTAGGTTGGCTTCTCTTAATTTGCTAAACACCTTTCTCAACGAGTCCAAGTGTTCAGTTAATGATGTCGAGAATACAATGACATCATCGAGATATACTAAACAACATTTATTTATTACCTCTTTCAAAACAACCCATAAGGGGCTGCAATATGATGAATTACTTTCCCTGATAATCCCTTGCTGAAGCATTTCCTCAACTTGAGCGTCTATTTCTTGCTCGGCGGCGAACGGATAACTGTAGGGTTTTTTGTAAACGGGATTATTGTGAATGGTTTCAATTCTATGTTTGGTTTGATTAGTAAAGCTTAATATTTGGCCTTCGCGATACTGAATGTCAATAAACTGTTTTAAAAGCTTCAGCAAATTTGCCCGTTCTTCTTTATTGAGGTGATCGAGTCGGTATTGAGGTTGCTCGTCTATTGGATTCTCAATTGCGTAAGTAAGCTCTGGAGTAGTTGTGAAATCTTTATTGTTGTCAGGAAAATAAAGTTTGTGAGAAAAATGTTTTATTGTTTATTATAATTTGATCTCTGGAATAATCGATAATTGAATTAGTTGCCTTTAGAAAATTGCGTCCTAATAATATGTCATAATAGTGTGAAAATGGAAATATGTAAAAATGTTGTTCTACTGGGAAAAGTTCATTAGGTTGAACAGTAATTATTTTGTTCAAATTCACCACTCCTTGCAATGCACGAACTACTGTAGGCTTTGATGTTATGGGTAGGTTAAAGAAATTTTGTCTCATAATATTAATTGAACTACCTGTATCAATTAGACAACGACAGAGTTTATTATTAAATTTTAAGGCAATATATTGGTGTGTTGGGAGGCTGATAAACGAAAATTTTCGGCATTATCTTCATCTGGTTGTTGGTATGGATGATTAAGATTCTGATGGTCGGTTTCGCAATAAGGTTCGTCACTATTATTTTGATATTCGCAACTTTGATTATAGTATTGATCATTCGGCATTTCTATATGATGGTAATCATCAATTTCCATCTTTTGATGGCCACTTGTACTTTCACGTTGGCGCTTTTGAGGTTGAGTTAAATTTGGTATCGAATAACCTTGACTTGACTTTCTATGGGCATCACTTTGTTGAGCTTGTACGAGTTTCTGTTGAAATTCTTTAAATATTTGTGGATTTGGCGATGGTAAAGAGGGTGGTAAAGAAGGTCGTCCCTGATTAAATGTGTTCTGTCGGACATGGTGCGGTATGAGATATTGATTGCTGACAATTTCGTTAGTTTTTTGCTGGGATGGACTGTTATTGTATGAAGTCATTTTATTATTATTTATTTCTTTATTAGAAGGCCTATCAGGATTGATATTTGAATTTGATTTCCTACTATTTTGTACGAGAATTAAGTTTACATTATCTTCATACATGCCTTCTTGTTGGGCAACACATTTTAACTTAGAAATACTAGATATATCATGACGTGCTAAAATCATGAACATACGATCAGGCAATTTTTTATTTATTACATTTTTTACTGTTTCGTTCATAGCTTGTGT